AAAAAAAAAAAAAAAAAGAAAGAAAGAAAGATGATTCAGCCATTAAAAAAAGAAGGAATTTTATCACGTTATAACATAGATTAACCGTAAGGGCATTATGCTAAGTGAAATAAGCCAGTCACGAAGAACATACACGGTGTCATTCCACTTACGTGAGGAATCTAGAGTAGTCAAGCTGGCAGATACAGAAAAGAGAATGGTGGTTGCCAGGGGCTGGGAAGACGTAGAATGAGAGGTTGGTGTTTAATGGGTACACAGCTTCAGCTTGGGGGGATGAAAACATTCTGGAGATCAGTTGCACAACAATGTAAATATACCTAACACAACTGAACTGTACACTTGAAAATGGTTAAGGTGGCAAATTTTATGTTCTGTAAAAATTATTTTTTAACAACTAATTACATGATTAGTCCAATAACCAGTTGGGAAATCAAGAGCAAACAATAAATAAATCATCATTTCCTTCCCCTCTCCAAGTCCCCCCTACCCCACTTTCCTCCCTTTAAACCCAGGTGGGTCTTAGGGTTTTTTGAATCCTGAACACACAAATGCTTGTATCTCCTGTTTTGAATCAATATGACCTGTAAAGTGTCAAGGTTTTGCCTTTATTCCAGGCTTCCAGCCAAATCTTCACCACACACCCCACTAACTACACATTCATTTTGTTTAACAGACCAGTCTATTATCAAACACATATCTCTAGGGACAACTCAGGCATCAGTCATTCGCCTAAGAAGCAGATGGCTTTAATCCTTGGACTTTCTCTTTAACTTAGATAAATGCAAGATAAGAATTCTGAATGGGAGAAGGGAGGGCAAAGAGTGATTTTAGAACCTGTTGTCCTTTGGAAGAAAAAAGATCTAAAAGGGGCATCCTAAGGGGATGGAGTGGGAATGATGTCGAACAGTTAGAGGGGGGCTCCCAGGGCCAGAGAGACTCAACACAGGGACCCAGATGGAAGGGAGCCCCAGAAAGCACTTCGCAGACTCAGCGATGTTGCCAAACTCAGCAGCACTCTGCCGTTCACTCAGTGGCACCTGCCCTGGAGAAGAGGAGAATCACTCCCTGTCACTCCAGCCTGCATAGGTTGTTTGCTGCTGGGAGAGGGGCCTAGAGGCCCCTTTGGAAAGTATCCTTCTGGTCCAGCATCCCTGGTGGAGCCACTGGTTCTGGCTACACTGTGTCTGGGGTAGAATGGAGGAAGTTCCTAGGAGGAAGGAAAGAGGCTGAGGAACCCCTGGGCACTGACAAGGGAGGACTGGGCCAAAAGAGATGCTTTTCTTTTCTCTCTTCCAAGCGGCTCAGAGTCTTTCACAGTGGTAATCAATGTAACCTCACTGCAGCCCAAAGTGGACTTACAGGGAAAAGAGTTTAACAAGATAGACGCTTTCCTCATTCACAGTCACTGTACTAGCTCTTTTACTCTGCCAAAATCTGACATGCCAAGTCAAGCCACACCCATTGCTTTCTGGTGCTGCCTGGCTCACACTCTAAACATAATTTCATTCAGTTCCTGCAAATCCTCATGTCCTACATCTCTCATCTTCCATGACCCATGTGGCAGGTGAGTTAAGGAAGCCTGTCCTCTCCCTTCCCAAAGCCTTGTAGGGGAACAGCTGGCCTCTTAGTGCAACAGATGAGCAAAGTCAGGTCTGACTATACATTAACAACACATGAACACAGCTGCAAGAGAGGAGGGATGGTGTGAGTCAGGATCCCAGGATCCACCCACTCTCCATCTCCCCCACATCTCTTTGTGCCAGGGCTTCCAATTAGAATACACAGAGATGCTAGCACTCACCTGGCTCATTCAGTGAAAACTAAGTAATAACGAATCAACTCAGTCAAATTGGTGGGCCAATTGTGCTTTTTGGAAATTATTATTGTTATATGATAGAAACACATGTTCACCCACAGTCTTTGCACTTTTGTATAGACATGAGATATTGAAACATTGCAAGTACTGATCCAGGTAAATGATCTTAGTCATGAATGACAACATCTCATTGAATAGGCCTTATATGATAAGGCAAGATTAAACATGAAAACTCAGGGGAAGGGGCTGCAGAAAGGCCAAGCTAGAATCGCCCTCTATTACAAATAACTGGGCAACTGAAGCCAATGTGGATTGCAGTCTAAAACTGCCTTGAAGTTTGTTTGAGTATTTTTCTCTTCAAATCTTCCTCTCTCCGTGCCTTAGATTTACAATTTAGAATTTCAAACATCTACACTTCCAAATGGCCAAGAAAAAAGAAGTGTTATTCAACACAGTGGAACTATGGCTTTCAAACTTGAGCTTTAATTCACTTCTATCATAATAGGGGTGGCCACTTTCAAACCCTATCCCCTGATCTGTCTTTTTTTTTTTTTTTTTTTTTTGAGACGGAGTTTCGTTCTTGTTGCTCAGGCTGAAGTGCAATGGTGCAATCTCAGATCACTTCAACCTGTCTCCCAGGTTCAAGCAATTTTCCTGCCTCAGCCTCCCGAATAGCTGGGATTACAGGCATGCACCACCACGCCTGGGAACTTTGTATTTTTAGTAGAAACACGGTTTCTCCATGTTGGTCAGGCTGGTCTTTAACTCCGGACCTCAGGTGATCCACCTGCCTCAGCCTCCCAAAGTGCAGGGATTACAGGCGTGAGCCACCGTGCCTGGCCAATCTGCCATTTTTACATGATCTCTTCTTTATTCTCCAATTGTTTCTCTGCTTCCTCTAGGAGATCAGAATCTCCAGCATAACTTGCCATGCATGAGGCTACTCACTGAACCATGATGCTATACGATTTTGGCCTTCATCCAATGTATTCACATAGGGAAGTGTTTCACGAACACTCACTCAGCTTTCAGTATAAGCTTACATTATTAGAAACTGTTACTTCAATTGTCTCATCACTTGGAACAAAGCAAGTTTTTTGGATTTGAGACACTCCCTTATATGAATATATTAGAGGGTAGGGCTGTGGGTGGATATAAGTTATTAGTTGTGTCACCTTTTACAGATGACTTATTTTTCCTAAACTTGATCCTACAAACGTCAAAAGCTGCAAAATTCTATGTCACATCAGCAGACAGTCACATCATGCCCCAGGCATCATCACCGACTCTGAATTGTTCTCAAATTCTGTCACTGTAAGTACACAAATGTAAATGCTTGTGGAATCCCTTGGTGAATATGTATAGACCACTCCCAACTACTCTGGAAGCCCTCTGAGAAGAAGAAACCTCTTGCACTTTGTATAACTAACCTTCCCCCTGCCCTGCAAGGCAAGGCACACAATAGGTATTCAATAAATAATCATTCATTCATTGACTTCTCATCTTCACCAGTGAGCATGGGAGGGAAACAGAAAAGGTGTTAAAACATTTTGTACTGTAAATTACCAGTTAAGAAACTAAGGCTGTGGAAAAGGATTACACTAGTGTAAGGATCACTCAGATAAAGAAAGAATTGTGGTGTGAGACGGTTACTGCGCTAAAAATGCTCACTGTTCAGATTTGTCAGAGGGTGAAAAACACTTTCTATAATCAAGGTTGATCAAATTGGCCTTTGTTTTCCTCATTAACACAAGAAGAGGGTCCAGTCTTCTTCAATAGTCTATTTCGAATGCGAGGGTTCCCCCCGCCCACCCCGTTTCCTTGTCTTTTTGACCCTTTGAACATAACCCACTCAGTTCCCCGATTCCTAAAGCGCCTCCCACAAAGCGGCTTGGGGAGCGCTCTGGAAAGCCCTGGCTGAGACACTTATTGGAACTTTGTTCCCCATATAGGTTATTTAGGAGCGTCTCGGTTTCCTCGGGCGACTCCAGGGCCTCCCAGGCTCTTCTCAGGCTGCCAGCAGGAGTCAAGGGCGGTGAGGTGCTCCGAGGCGGTACGGGGGGCGCTGACCATGGTCCTGGCCTCGGAGCTCGGGAAGTGAGCGCAGGAGGCTCCGGCGGAGGCTGCAGGGAGCCGCCGTCGGAACCCTCGCCCCTCCAGACCACCCGGGAGCCGCGGGCCTTCACGCAAAGCCTCCACCCCACGCTCCGAGCCGCCTCAAAAAAGGGTGGGGCACCCAGCCGCAGCTGCAATCGGAAGCCGCCCGGGAAGGTTTCAGAAGAATGGAACCGCGGACAACCCTTCCCAGGCGACCACCGCCCGCCCCAGCCCGGGATCAGCCCATCCCCTCTGCACACCCCCCACCTCCCAAGCTCAAGGAGACGCGGGCAGCCTTTGTGGGCGCACGGCCGCCCACCGCCCAGCCCCAGCCTCGCCGCACCCTGCGAGGAGAAGGGGCGGGGGGTGCGCGTGCAGATGCGGGAGGCGAGGTCCAGGGCGGGGCATGAAGACGGGCGCGCCGGGCTCAGGGGCGAGGGAGGGGCGATCCCCGCGCCCCGTCCTCGGTCTCCACCCCCCACCCCCACACCGACCTGGTCGTAGATGTTCTGCAGGGCTTCCTTGCCCGAGGCCCTCCGGATCTCCACCTTCCGGCCCGATTCAACAGATGGCTCCCCGCCGGCGCGCCGGCCCTGCCGCGAGTACGGCGGCTGCGGGTCCGGGCCCAAGTGGGCGACGTCCCGCTGCTGAGCTACCACCTGCCCCGAGCCCCGGCCCACCGACAGCGAGTCGAAGTCGATGGTCTTGTTCTCCGAGGACCCTTCCACCGGGCAGAACATGCCACAGAATTTCTGCCGGGGCTTGGGGCTGCCGGAGCCCAGGTTTTTAAAAAAGGCAGGGACCTCTTCGTCCTCTGCCGCCTTCCCGGATTGCTTTCTCTCGGCCATGGCTCGGGGGCTCGGAGAGGGTACTCGCCGTCCGTCCGTCCGTCTGCCGGTCCCTAAGTCTCCCTCGCGGTGTGCACAAGCCCCCTAGCTGCTGCCGCTCGCCGCCCACCGCAAGGTGCACAGAAAGGAAGGAGGGCTGGCGAGCCGGCGACCCACCCTCCCGGTCCCTCCCCCTGACCCCGCTTCTCCCCTCCCTGCCCACGCCCCCCGCGGCCACCGCGCGAGCTCGGGCGAGCGGCAAAGTTGGATCTGGGAGGGTGGCCGCTGCGGCTGCGGGAGCGGAGAGGCTGCCAGTTCCCGGCAGCGCAGGGAGGAGGGAGGCGCGGGCGGGGCGCGGGCGGGGCGCGGCGCCGGGGAGGGGAGCGGCGCGCAAGGGAGGGCAGGAGGGGAGGGAAGAAGAGAAAGAGGGGAGGGCGGCACCGCCCCTAGCCCAGAGCTCCGGAAGTGAAGCGGCCAGACCAACGGCTAATGGATGCGGAGCGGAGGGCTCGCTGACAGCTCTCCGCGCCTGGGTAAGTATCGGGCCGGGAACCTGGTGTGAGGACCCGAGGGCGCAGCCCCCGGCCTCTGTGCCCCTCTCCCCCACCTGCCCGGCCCAGGCACCTCTACCTGTAGCGAGGCGGAATTCGGCCAGGGTCGATGGCGCACTCTGGCTAGGGCTCCCGCTCCGTTACCCTGGGTGTGAGCTGGTGGATGGGAAAAGGGGACCAGCCGGGCGCCAGGCTACTCCAGGTGTGGGAAGGGGGGCGGCACTGAAGATGAACAAGGGGTGGCACAGGACGGGGGCAGCCGAGACGCTGGACACCCAAGCTTCACTTTGCCCACTGGCCTTGGCAGGCTTCAGGGAGCAGAGAGACTAAAACCCTAAGGTTCCCGCTTCGTGCATCCACTTTGGTGCGGTTGAGGTGGCGGGTGGCGGGTGGCGGGTGGGGGGGACACAACATGGCGGGAAGAAATGCAGAGTGGCGTAGCAGATGGGAGACGAGTACAGAGAGAGACGCAGGTCTGCGGTTTATAAGGGTGTAGCAAAGAGTGCAGTGCGGAATTCCAGCCCAGTGCCATGTCTTAGAGAGGGGGTGCAGACCCGCTCTATTGCCCAAGGGCACCATGGACCGTTTCTGCACCACTGCGCCAAAAAGGACGCAGGAACATGTCGCGATTTGGTTTCTTCTGCTCCCCCCACCAAATAATAATAATAATAATAAAAAGTGGGTTGGGGGAGAAACAAATTGAAACCCCTTCCCCAAATCTCCAGCTGTTCCCGGAGCCCCAGTGCCCCGCCTGGTTCCCCCGCCCCTGTTGCGCACTGCGCCACAGCCGCGGCGTTTCCCAGGTTACCAGATGCCACGTGTTTGGGAGTGAGCGCGGGTGCGCATCTGGTGCGGAGTAGGAGGTAGGTTGTGAGTACCGTGAATTGTGTGGGGCCAAGCGGAGGAAAGGTACGTAGGAACTTGGTGTGTGTGTGTGCAGGTAGTGGAGCTACTGCAACCGGGGTGGTAAGTAACCGGGGAGCAATTGGATTTGCTGCGTAACACGGTCAGTGCGGGTTCTTCATTGCTTATTCCCATCTCCACGTCCTTTCTGCGTTATCAGTCCTTGCCTCTGCCCGATGACAGCCCCTCCTCTCTTTCCACAGTGGCAAGATCCTGCGGAAATGGTGCCCCTCCTTTGGCGGCCCGGGAGGGAGGTCTGGGCATGCTCAGTAATCAGGGTGGGTTTGGGCTGAGAGGCCGTTTCCCGCAAGGCCATCGCGCAGGGACTTGTGACCAGAAATCCTGTCCCATTGTCAACCCAGGAGTAAATGCCGTTACCAGCCACTCCCACCATCCAATTTTGAGGGATAGTTTGGTGAACAGTTGCATCTAGTGGACCACCAGTTGCAGTTTGAAGATCAGCCCACCATGATGGTAGAAAGTCGTCTCCGGATGAGAAAGGGAGACTGAGGAAGAATATAGGAGTGGAGGGGCTGAGAGAACCCGAGGAGCCAGATGCGCTTTGCATTTGAATAAAGCATTTGAAAAAAAAGCGATTCCAACTGAATTACATCATTTCCCACTCACAGCCCCCTGTAAGATTCACGCTTATCAGCACTGCTTTCCAGGTTGGGAAACAGATTTAGAGAGCTTGGTCCAAGGTTGGGTATTTACTTATGTGATTCAACAGTTCCAGTGGGGGTCTTCCACGTCAAAGTCTGGCTTCTTTTCCAGCTTGTCCTGTGACCCCCTTTATGTGAGAAAATACAAGGTTCTTCTATTTCTACCATATCCAGATATTTCCATCTGTGGCCCTATTGTATATGAAGGGTATTTCTTGCCATGTTTTTATTAGAAAGTCACACTACAGGCCGGGCGCGGTGGCTCAAGCCTGTAATCCCAGCACTTTGGGAGGCCGAGGCGGGTGGATCACGAGGTCAAGAGATCGAGACCATCCTGGTCAACATGGTGAAACCCCGTCTCTACTAAAAATACAAAAAATTAGCTGGGCATGGTGGCGCACGCCTGTAATCCCAGCTACTCAGGAGGCTGAAGCAGGAGAATTGCCTGAACCTAGGAGGCGGAGGTTGCGGTGAGCCGAGATTGCGCCATTGCACTCCAGCCTGGGTAACAAGAGCGAAACTCCATCTCAAAAAAAAAAAAAGAAAAAGAAAGTCACACTACCGGTCACATTAGGAGGAAGAGGCATCATAAGATAGCCTGACTTCAAGAATCGTGGCAGTCATTCTGTAGACCATAGAGATGCTTCTCTCTGGGCAGTGTCTTTTTACATTCTGTTTCCTCTAAATATCCCAGTGGGCAGGAAAGTTGCCCCCAGTTGTGTTTTTGTTTTTGTTTTTATTTTCAGACAAGAGTCTCACACTGTGACCCAGGCTGGAATGCAGTGGTGCAAACGCAGCTTACTGTAGCCTTGACCTGCTGGGCTCAAGCAATCATCCCTCCTCAGCCTCCCAAGTACTTGGGACTACACATGAGTGCCACATGCCCAGCTAATTTTTTTATTTTTACTTTTTGTAGAGACAAGGTCCTACTATGTTGTCCAGGCTGGTCTCAAACCCCTGGGCTCAAGTGATCTTCCCACCTTGGTCTCCCAAAGTGCTGTGTTCACAAATGTGAGCCACTGCACCTGGCCCTCTCCTCACCAGCCCCCATATTTTAGAAAGGAAAAGTCAGGCATAGAGAAGTCAGAAGTCTCAGGTCCCTGGGGCTCCTGGGCACAGGGGTGAAGTAGCATTTTGCCCTCCTGGCTCTCTGGCACCCCTAGTGTCTTCAGCACCTCCCTAAAGACTCTAGAGATGTGTGCACAGCAGGAGCAGCTGCTGATACAGGTAAAGGACAGCATTGTGGCATATGGCCCCCATTTGAGTTGATGAAGATGTTTAGGCAAAGAGGGAAATGGTTGCAGCCCCCAACACACACTATGCAGTGGTAACTGGGCGGTATTAGGAACTCTTTTTTCTTTTTTGAGACAGAATCTCACTCTGTCACTGAGGTTAGAGTGCAGTGATACAATCTCAGCTCATTGCAACTTCTGCCTTCCAGATTCAAGCAATTCTCCTGCCTCCCAAGTAGCGGGGATTACAGGCATGCGCCACCATACCAGGCTAATTTTTGTATTTTTAATAGAGATGGGGTTTTGCCACGTTGGTCAGGCTGGTCTTGAATTCCTGACCTCAGGTGATCCACCTGCCTTGGCCTCCCAAAGTGCTGGGATTACAGGCGTGAGTCCCCATGCCCAGCCAATTCTAACTTTTTTACATTCTCTAATCTCCACAGACTATCCAGAACAAACTCCTTGATAGATGAGCTTCCTCCTTTTTTCTCAAATGATGGGTTAAAGTTCAAATGCTAGGACAGGCTGGGCATTGTGTTCCATAAGTGTGGTTCAGTACTGTGGGTGGCTGTAGCAGGAGGATCACTTGAGCCCAGGAGTTCGAGACCAGGCTGAACAACATAGGGAGACTCTGTCTCCACAAAAAATTAAGATACTAGCTAGGAATGGTGGCACGTGCCTTTGGTCCTAGGTACTTAGGAGGTTGAGGTTGGAGGATCGCTTAAGCCCAGGAGAGGTCAAGGCTACAGTGAGCCATGTTTACACCACTGCATTCCAGCTTAGGCAGCAGAGTGAGACCTGTCTCAAAAAAACAAAAACAGAAGCAAATGCTAGGAGAAAGTGTTGTGCTAGTAACTTACTGTCTTAGTCTATTTTGTGTTACTGTAAAGGAATACCTGAGGCTGGGTAATTTATAAAGAAAAGAGGTGAATTTCGCTCACAGTTCTGCAAGCTGTACAAGAAGTATGGTGCTGGCATCTGAACCTGAGGACCCCTCAGGAAGCTTCCAATCACAGCAGAAGGCAAAAGTGGAGCAGATGTGGCAAGAGAGGGAGCAAGAGTGAAGGGCAGGAGGTGCCAGTCTCTTTTTAACAATCAGATCTGGAGGAAACTAATATAGCAAGAACCCACTCATTACCCCAAGGATGGCACCAAGCCATTCATAAGGGGTCCACTCCCATGACCCAAACACATCGCACCAGGCCCCACCTCCAATACGGGGGATCACATTTCAGCATGAGATTTGGAGGGGACAAACATTCAAACTATTTTACTTACCATTCATAGCAAAACCAAAACCCAAATGTGTGTTTGCAAAGCCTTCCAGACACAACAAAAGAGAATTAATTCATAATTCCAAATTTAACTTAGTCTGACCTGAGATTTTTTTTCCTGAATTGTTATACCTAAATTAAACTATTTTTAAATGTTTGAGTGATTCCTAGTTAGTTTTGTTAAACAAAGAAGTAAAGCAACTTAATTTTGAGTAGCATTGTGAAGGATTGTCGTATTTTTTGAATAAGTGCATTAACGGTCTTTCTACTGAATATTAATGAAGCATCAATACCTATTCTTATTATTTATATGTAACAGGGCAGCTTGGCTTGGCTGAAGCTAAGACTCAGACACATCATTGTGTGGAGGTGGGTGACGTCTTCCTGTGCTAGAAGGTGAATAATAAGCTCAACTCTTGCAGAACACGCGGGAACACATAAACAGGTATTTAGCCGCATCTCCTGATTTCATCTTTCACATGGCAAAGACCTTGAATCCTGTCCTTAACTGGGGTCAGACATTAATCAACAGGTCTGATAAGGTTATAGTGGGGACACCAAATTTCCTTGGAGTCCTCGAGAGGAAAAAAGTCACAGCAAGCAAAGAAGGGGTCTGACAGAGTGGGGCAGATGCAAGCACACTGTGAAACAGAACCCTCATCTTCCCCCAGTTCCATTCCAGACTAGAGCACGGATGCTTCCTGGGACAGAGAGTGCTGGGTCGTAAAACTGAACCTTGTTTCACTAGGGGTCCAAGGCGCCCTGCTGGGAGACTTCTCTCCAAGAGTTCTGGGTGCCATACTGGAAGGCATTTTCCCACCAACTGGAGAGAGGCGAAACAGAGACCAGGAGGCTGTGGAGAAAGCAGCTGTCCCAGGTGCCTCAACTATCAGAGAAGCGTCGGTGTCACGTGGCTGCCAGCATCTTTGAGAAGATCATCTGCAAGCAGACTTCAGAGCTGCAGGCAGAGGTGTGGTTAGAACTGACTTAGAACTCAGGTCTAAACACCACAAGAAGTCCTGAGTTCTTGCCACTGGGTAGGGCAGGGTTATTTGTCCAGAAAACTTTGTGACTATCTTGGAGGGACCTAGCCTGGGACCCATTCACTGGTGGGTTCTAAGGTTAGAGGCTCATCCGGGATACTTTCAATACTAAGTCAGTGCATAGCAACCACTAACAGGTTGGTACCCGTAGAGTCGGAGCGGGTCAGTTCTTGGGAAGATGGCACTGGCACTCTTAGAAGACTGGTGTAGGATAATGAGTGTGGATGAGCAGAAGTCACTAATGGTTACCGGGATACCGGTGGAGTATGAGGAGGCTGAGATTCAGGAGGTCCTTCAGGAGACTTTAAAGTCTCTGGGCAGGTATAGATTGCTTGGCAAGATATTCCGGAAGCAGGAGAATACTAATGCTGTCTTACTAGAGCTTCTGGAAGATACTGATGTCTCAGCCATCCCCAGTGAGGTCCAGGGGAAAGGGGGTGTCTGGAAGGTGATCTTTAAGACCCCCAATCAGGACACTGAGTTTCTGGAAAGGCTGAACCTCTTTCTAGAAAAAGAGGAGCAGACCATCTCGGGTATGTTTCGAGCCCTGGGGCATGAGGGCGTGTCTCCAGCCACGGTGCCCTGCATCTCACCAGAATTACTGGCCCATCTGTTGGGACAGGCAATGGCACACGCGCCTCAGCCCCTGCTACCCATGAGATACCGGAAACTGCGAGTGTTCTCGGGAAGTGCCGAGCCAGCCCCGGAGGAAGAGCCTTTTGAGGTCTGGTTGGAACAGGCCACGGAGATAGTCAAAGAGTGGCCGGTAACAGAGGCAGAAAAGAAGAGGTGGCTGGCGGAGAGCCTGCGGGGCCCTGCCCTGGACCTCATGCACATAGTTCAGGCAGACAACCCGTCCATCAGTGTGGAAGAGTGTCTGGATGCCTTTAAGCAGGTGTTTGGGAGCCTGGAGAGCCGCAGGACCTCCCAGGTGAGGTACCTGAAGACCTATCAGGAGGAAGGAGAGAAGGTGTCGGCCTATGTGTTACGGTTAGAAACCCTGCTCCGGAGAGCGGTGGAGAAACGCGCCATCCCGCGGCGCATCGCGGACCAGGTCCGCCTGGAGCAGGTGCTGGCCGGGGCCACTCTTAACCAGACGCTGTGGTGCCGGCTCAGGGAGATGAAGGATCAGGGCCCGCCCCCCAGCTTCCTTGAGCTAATGAAGGTAATACGGGAAGAGGAGGAGGAAGAGGCCTCCTTTCAGAATGAGAATATCGAAGAGCCAGAGGGAGGAGATGGCTATGGCCGCTGGGATCATGAGGGGGAGGACTGAAAGCCACCTGAGTGCAGGGCCACAGCCAGTGGGCCTAGGGACATGCGCCTTGCTAGGCTAAGAACTTTAAAGAATTTTTCTCTTTAATCTATGGGACTGAAATCAAGGCATGAAACCCAATTATTGACATTTTTTCCTTCCTTCCTTCTTTCCTTCATTCCGTCCTTCCTTTTATTCTTTCTTCTTTCTTGGGTCTCACTCTCCTCGCCCAGGCTGGAGTGCAGACGCACAATAATCTCGGCTCCCTGCAGCCTTGACTTCCCAGGCTCAGGCTCAGGTGTTCCTGACACCTTAGCCTCCCAAGTACCTGGGACTACAGGCATGCTCCACTACGCCTAGCTTTTTTTTTTTTTTTTTTCCTGTATTTTTAGTAGAGACAGGGTTTTGCTAGGTTGCTCAGGCCAGTCTGGAACACCTAGGCTCAAGCGATATGCCCAACTCAGCCTCCCAAAGTTCTGGGATTACAGGCATGTGCCACCATGCCCAGCCAGAAAAATCACCCAGTGATTTTTCTTTTTTTAAAGAATGTATCTACGAGTTTCTTAGACTCTATGTAGATTACTAATGAACAAGAGATTAGACTCCAAATATTAGGTAGTAAATCTGAAGGAATCTGAAACACTCGTACTTCCCATTTTCTTTAAGTAATCCCAAGTAGACTAGAGTTGGCCCATACCATAGAAGAAAGAATTGGCAGTCAAACAAAAAAAACCTTTTGTAATTATGTTTGAAAAATAAAGCTATTTGACTTGTCAGCTGTTTTCCTTTCTAAATCAGCAAATTTTCTCTGAGTACAGAAATTCTCTGTACGAGGAGTTACCAGACTACAGCTCTAACCTGCAGTTGAGCAGTTATAAATCTACAAAATGGGCCCTGCCCTCAGAGGTTCTAGTCTACATGAGGAGATGATCTAGACAGGTAAAAGGCTAACTAACCCTTTGTGTAAATAACCCCAGTAAAAGTGTCATCACTCCATGAATAGGAGCATCTCCACCTGCAGATTTTTGTCGTTGTGGTTGTTGTTGTTTTAACCTGGGAATCAGTCCTGCCTTTCTGCCAGGTGTCAGATGGATGGTCCCAGAACTATGTGCTGTGTCAGGCCCTGAAAACACAGATGACTCAACCTAAGCTCTGCTTTCAAGAAGTCCCCAGCCTTGGAAAAATATAAAATAATTTTTGTATTTTTAGTAAAAACAGGGTTTCACCATGTTGGCCAGGCTGGTCTTGAACTCCTGACCTCGAGTGATCCACTCACCTCAGCCTCCCAAAGTGCTGGGATTACAGGCATGAGCCACCACACCCAGCCTAATCTTTGACTCTCTGGTAAATAACAGCTAGATTAAAATGGGCTGATAACCAAATTTTAGCACATTAGCATTCACCACCAGGTTTGATTTTATTTCCAGATTGGCTCATTTTGTGTAGATCTTGGAGCAAAGCTTCCTTTATGGTATCTGTGTACGTATCCAAACTTCCTTTAACTGTACATAGATTTAAAAGTAGTAGCACCACGTGGGTGTTTAGATCAGACCTGTGTATGTCGTGTGTCATGTAAGTGTGTGCGTGCAGTGCAGAGGAACACCATTTAGTTATACGTGCTAGCCAAAGCTCCAACACAATTGATGTATGGTCTCATGGTAGATTTGTGCATACTGTAAATAAATTGCTTAGCTTATCTAGACATCAGTTTCCACCTCTGAAAAATGAGAAGATGAGAGTACACAGTTGTGATGAGGATCAGATAACTTAATGCTTTTTAAGCACTTTGCATGACATCTGGAACGCAGAAAGCCCTCAGTACGTTGAGACTGTTAAGATTTTCGTGATGTTCCTGCCTGCTCAATGCATGCCGTCTTTATTGTTCTGACAGTTGTGTGATAACAAGTTAATATGCTTCCAGTTGACTCCCAGGCTACCTTGGTGTTAGAAACTATTTCCGCGCTTGCTGTAAATTTGAGTACTTCTTGTTTTTTTTATATTTGTGATGACTCTTCCAGCAGCTGTTGACAATTGTTAGAGGTTTGACTTTTAAATAGTCACTTATTTTTTCTGATTGTGGTTTGGTTTAACTAAAGAATATCCTGGGATTGTAAGAAAAGCATTTTTTAAGAGGTATCATTTGTGATCAATTCTCTTTCTAAATTGTAGTTTTAATACTGTTTGACCAAAGTGATACAATTGTTACCATGACACTCTAATTTCATGTGTTTTTGTATTTGTGAAAGTGGTCTCATTGTCATTTCTTGACAGTATACAAAGTAAAATGTTATAAATGTGAAGTTATCAAATAAATACATGCTAATAGAATCCTGAGTTTTTCTGATTTGTAAAAATGGCCTGTATAAACTACTGCTTGAAGAAGGAGCTCCGTCACTGAAAAGTTTTGAGAGATAAGTTGAAAAATCAAGCTAAAGCCAAAAGGTCTTGAACTCCCCTAGGCAAGAAAACCTCAAAGCAAAAAAGTGATTGAATAAGAATACTTGAACTATGTCTCCGAAGACAAGAGAGAGCTCAGTCCACCATCATCAATTTCTCTTTGAAAATATATAGAAACAACAGATGGAAGCCAGTTCCCTCAGAGAGCGCCAACTCATTTGCTTAGGAAAATAACTACAGATGAATTCCCAGGCTCTATTCTGCTTAGGGTGAATGACCCTGAAGGTAGAATATTGCTTTTCTAGGCTGAAATCCCCCACTTTTTTCCTTTTTTTTTTTTTTTTTTTTGAGACAACGTGTCACCCAGGCTGGAGTGCAGTCACACGACCTTGCTCACTGCAAACTGCCTACCAAATTTAGGTGATTCTTATGCCTCAGCCTCCCGGGTAGCTGGGATTACAGGGTTGCGCCACCACAGCCCAACTAATTTTTTGTATTTTTAGTAGACACGGGGTTTTACTGTGTTGATCAGGCTGGTCTTGAACTCCTGGGCCTCCCAAAGTGCTGGGATTACAGGTGTGACCCACCGCACCTAGCCTGAAGTCACCTTTTATTCAATGGATGTGTATGAGAGGAAATTCCTCTTGCCTTTGGCCTTCTTGAAATTGCTTCTCCTCTTTTTTTCTAAAGTCTGATGAGGGAGTATTTTTCATTGGGCCATACGCGCTGCAGACCAGTCCATTGAAGAGGAATATCCCAGGGGGGTCCAACACCATCTCCCATTCACCCAAGTAAACTCTCCAAGGGGTGGTGTCACTTTAAACTTCACAATTCTCCAGGCCTGACTCTCAAACAGGCTCCAAGATTCTCGAATCACTGCTGAGGATAACTTTCCACCAGGGCTGTCTGGTGAAGATTGAGGCCGTCAGCCTTCTGCCTTTCCAGGCCTTAGGTGTCACCTGCCATGCACCTGCACCAGCCATCCCCACCAGGCCACCCCTCCTCTTGTGTTCTGCTGCCCATCTTAAATGCAAGATCTAGCTCAGCAGCTCTCGGCTTTGCTCTCCTTTCCCTGCTATGCCGTGCTTCCAGCCTACGTTCTGGACATTCCAGGGCATCTCTACAAACCAGCCTGGATCATCAGAGTCCTTACTGAATACCTTGTCACCATCTTCCTGCATTGAACTCTAGTCCTCCTGCAAGTCCTCTGTGGCCTGTGCAGTCCCTGGAGGGGAAGCAGCTCAGGAGAGGCTGGAAGGTGGTGGTAGCATTCCACCTAGCTCACTCTCACCCCATCCCACTTGCAAATACATTTGTTCCTTCCTGGCATAAGCTCACCCACTCTGTCTCACCACCTGCTGTGGAGTAGCCCTGACAGCCTGGATGACGGCAATGACAAAGCAACCCAAGGCAGGGAGGAGTCCCTTTAGGGTTGAATGTGGCCCGGTGTTATCTAAAGCAACAAAGAAGAGGAAGAAAAATACAATGACCGTGAGATGTGTCCAAGGAAGCCCTATAGAAGTGGAACAGCAAAGAGTGTTGGAAGCCAGCATTTCGAAGGAGTGGAGCCTGAGATGAAATGTAGAAGCTAAGTAAGGAGATCGGAGACAAGTGTCAAATGTGCTGCAGGCTTGATTTATGTTGTCAAACGTGCTGCAGGCTTGATTTATGTTAGCCACCAGCAGAATCTTTGAATGGTCTGAAGGCCCAAGATCAGGGCAGACATCTCGCTTATTCCCTGTCTGTCAGGGTGAGCCAGGAATTCCTTGAGTTTGCTCAGGGAAGACTTATACTCATGGAGAAGCTTTTTTGCAGAGAAAGATGGTGCCTGTAAGTAGGCCTCTCAGAATGTAGCCTTTTCAGGCTGTGTGCGGTGGCTCACGCCTATAATCCCAGCACTTTGGGAGGCTGAGGCAGGAGGATCATTTGAGCCAGGAGTTCAAGCCCAGCCTGGGTAACTTAGCAAGACCCCATCTCTACAAAATGTTTTTTTAAATAGATTAGTCATGCATGATGGCATAGGCCTGTGGTCCCAGCTATTCAGGAGGCTGAAACAGGAGGATCACTTGAGCCCAGAAGGTCAAGGCTGCAGTGAGCCATGATCACACCACTGGACTCCAGCCTGGGTGACAGGCTGGGAGACCCTGTCTCAAAAAAAAAAAAAAGAAAAGAAAAGAAAAGAAAAAGAAAAGAGAAAGGAGGGAAGGAGGGAAGGAGGGAAGGAGGGAGAAAGGAAGCTAGCTTTCCCACCATGGAAGGAAGGAAGGAAGGGAAGGAGGGAGGGAGGGAGGGAGGGACGGACTAGCCCTCCCACCATACCAGGCCCTGGAGCTCTTCTGGTCCTGCCCTGTGTGACACAAGTCCTTTGCTGTAACCAAATGTTCACTGACCTTACAGATGGGCACTTTCTTAAAAATTACAACAACTCCAGAAGTGTATGTCAAAATCAATTTTATCATAAGGAAAAAAGGTGTAAGATTTCAGTCTCACTTTCAAGATAGCAGCTGGAACTGTCCATTAATAGTCTGGACTGCTTTAAGCAGCAGAAGCAGCAGCTGAGGCTTTCTCACAGTCTGCCCTCCTTCCCCTTGAAAGGAAAATTTGCCAAAGGGGAAGAGTTACTGGACTATGCAAGGTGCTGGGGCTGGATGCCACTTCAGGTAGTTCCACAGCAGGAAAGGCCAGGAAGCGGTCCCCATCCCATCCCGCCAGACCTCCCTGCTCTACAGTGGCCTGAAAGTCCCACTGAAGGCCTTTCCTGGTTTCTTGGCACAACAGCTTTCCCAATGAACACAATGAACTAAAATAAAAGCTTTCTGGAACTAACAAGCAGTTGTCACGAAAGCAAACTTTATATTGTAAGTGAACATGAGCAAGCCACTGGAAACCAGGCTGGTGAGTATGGGAGGCTGGTTCTGCTGACTAGTGGTGGTATCGCAGTGCCTGGCAACATCCCATACAAAGGTGTCAGCTTCCAATCACATTTGTGGAGCTTGGCGATCCTGCTCACTACGCCAAGTACTGGTTAGTGGACATTTTTTTATGTTCAAAAAAAAATCTTCTGTATAAGCCTAAGGCAACTGTAAATGTTTAGAGCTAAGTGTGCTGCCATCTTGGAAATAACATCTGTCAATCCAGAAGGACAAGGCCATTTCCAAGTTCAAGGAGATTTATGGGTCTAAAGCTAAGGCAGTAATTCTTAAGATTCACAAGCCCTGTCACCAGCCTGAGTTTGGCCTACAAGTGGTAATGCAGGATGAGAAAGAAAGCTGTGGCCGGGCACAGTGGCTCACGCCTGTAATCCCAGCACTTCGGGAAGCGGGGGGCGGGCGGATCACCTGAGGTCGGGAGTTCAAGACCAGCCTGACCAACATGCTGAAACCCCCGTCTTTAAAAAAAAAAAAAAAAAAAATTAAACAAAGAAAACTGTATGAGTCTCACAGGCCATGCTCAATACCTTGTATGGGCTTTCATAAATTACTAAAGGGGCTGCTTGGCAGCCCCATGGAATCCCTAGGTCATATTTTCCTATCAGGACCACTAGATTTATCAGTAGCTGAACCACTTACGAGCTATTCCCCCTTGACCTGGCTTGCCCACAAGTTCTATGATGCTTCAGGATTCATGACGGCATGGTCTGAAATGCATTCCTCCCATAGCCAGAGTATATTTTGGCTCAACTTAGGACTCCATCAAAATTTTAGTGCAGGAATAAGGATGGGCACATCTACTTCCTCTATTACGAGGGTGGGGATTTAGTATTTTACAGGAGTGGGCAGGCTATACCCAAACTGGGCATCTACTTAGGAGGTGATCAGAGCACTCAGACACAGGGGTAGGGATGGTAATTCATATGGATGAAGGAATAAGAAGAGAGGCAGAGAAGATCATACCTAACACCTTCCCCCTACAAGCACTGTGGGCATTTCCACCCTACATCAGAAATAAAAGATCAAGCCACAAAAATTAAAACTTAGGGCCTGGCATGGTGGCTCACACTTGTAATCCTAACACTTTGGGAGGCTGAGGTGGGTAGATCGCTTGAGTTTAGGAATTCTAGACACACCTGGCCAACATGGTGAAACCTTGTCTCTACTAAAAAAAACACAAAAATTAGCTGGGCATGGTGGCACACACCTGTAATCCCAGCTTACTCAGGAGAATGAGGGAGGCTGAGGCATGAGACTCCAGGAGCCAGAGGATGCGGCGAGCTGAGATTGTACTGCTGCACTCCAGCCTAGGCAACAACGTGAGACTCTGTCTCAAAAATAAATAAATAAATAACATTAAAATTGGAAGTGAAATAAGACATAAGGATGAGAACAGAGAACTTGAAGCAGAATAAATATGAGGAAAATCACCTAGAAGCATAGCATAGTCCAACTGCTATAAACCAAAGGTAAGGCGAAAATTTGTTTAACTCTTATTTCAGGTTCAGAAGAACGTGTTCTGGCTTGAATATGGGTAAACCGTGTGTCACAGGAGTTTGCTGCACAGATTATTTTGTCACCCAGGTAATAAGCATAGTACCTGATAGGTAGTTTTTCAGTCCTGTCCCTCCTCCCACCCTTAAGTAGGCCCCAGAGTCTGTTGTGCCCTTCTTGTGTACTCAACATTTAGCTCCCACTTATAAGTTAGGACAAGGAGTATTTGGTTTTCTGTTAATGCATTAGTTCCCTTAGGGTCATGGCCTCCAGCTCCATTATTTTTGCTGCAAAGAACATGATCTTATGCTTTTTCATGGCTGCGTAGTCTTCTGTGGTGTATATGTATCACATTTTCTTTATCCAGTGTACCACTCATGGGCACTTAGTTTAATTCTATAACTTCGCTATTGTGAATTGTGCTGTAATAAGCATACCTGTGCATGTGTCTTTGTGATAGAATTATTTATATTCTTTGGGGTATATACCCAATCATAGGATTGCTGA